CGGGACGCCAATTACACGGCACAAAAACGTCATCGGCAAAAAGAGGAGAGAGCGAAGGATAGAGAGAGAGGGGAGGAGAGAGAGAGGGAGGAGAGAGAGAGGGAGGAGAGAGAGAGAGGGAGGAGAGAGAGAGAGAGGGAGGAGAGAGAGAGAGAGAGGGAGGAGAGAGAGAGAGGGAGGAGAAAGAGAGGGAGTAGAGTGAGAGTGGGAGGAGAGAGAGAGGGAGGAGAGAGAGAGAGGGAGGAGAGAGAGAGGGAGGAGAGAGAGAGAGGGAGGAGAGAGAGAGAGAGAGGGAGGAGAGAGAGAGAGGGAGGAGAAAGAGAGGGAGTAGAGAGAGAGAGGGGGGGAGAGAGAGAGGGAGGAGAGAGAGAGAGGGAGGAGAGAGGGAGGAGAGAGAGAGGGAGGAGAGAGGGAGGGAGGAGAGAGAGAGAGAGGAGGAGAGAGAGAGAGGGAGGAGAGAGAGAGGGAGGAGAGAGAGAGAGAGGAGGAGAGAGGGAGGAGAGAGAGAGAGGGAGGAGAGAGAGAGAGGGAGGAGAGAGAGAGGAGGAGAGAGAGAGAGGGAGGAGAGAGAGGGAGGAGAGAGAGAGAGGGGAGAGAGAGAGAGAGAGGGAGAGAGAGGGAGGAGAGAGAGAGGGAGGAGAGAGAGAGAGGGAGGAGAGAGAGAGAGGGAGGAGAGAGAGAGAGGGAGGAGAGAGAGAGGGAGGAGAGAGAGAGAGGGAGGAGAGAGAGAGAGGGAGAGAGAGAGAGAGGAGAGAGAGAGAGGAGGAGAGAGGGAGGAGAGAGGGAGGAGGGAGAGGGAGGAGAGAGAGAGGAGAAGAGAGAGAGGGAGGAGAGAGAGAGAGAGGGAGGAGAGAGAGAGAGGGAGGAGAGAGAGAGAGGAGGAGAGAGAGAGGGAGGAGAGAGAGAGAGGGAGGAGAGAGAGAGGGAGGAGAGAGAGAGGGAGGAGAGAGAGAGGGAGGAGAGAGAGAGGGAGGAGAGAGAGAGAGGGAGGAGAGAGAGAGGGAGGAGAGAGAGAGAGGGAGGAGAGAGAGAGGGAGGAGAGAGAGAGAGGGAGGAGAGAGAGAGGGAGGAGAGAGAGAGGGAGGAGAGAGAGAGGGAGGAGAGAGAGAGAGGGAGGAGAGGGGAGAGAGAGGGAGGAGAGAGAGAGAGAGGGAGGAGGAGAGAGAGGAGGAGAGAGAGAGAGGAGGAGAGAGAGAGAGGGAGGAGAGAGAGAGGGAGGAGAGAGAGAGAGGGAGGAGAGAGAGAGAGGGAGGAGGAGAGAGAGAGGGAGGAGAGAGAGAGGGAGGAGAGAGAGAGAGGGAGGAGAGAGAGAGAGGGAGGAGAGAGAGAGAGGGAGGAGGAGAGAGAGGAGGGAGGAGAGAGAGAGGGAGGAGAGAGAGAGAGGGAGGAGAGAGAGAGAGGAGGGAGGAGAGAGAGAGGGAGGAGAGAGAGAGAGGGAGGAGAGAGGGAGGAGAGAGAGAGAGGGAGGAGAGAGAGAGGGAGGAGAGAGAGAGAGAGGGAGGAGAGAGGGAGGAGAGAGAGAGGGAGGAGAGAGAGAGAGAGGGAGGAGAGAGGGAGGAGAGAGAGAGGGAGGAGAGAGAGAGAGGGAGGAGAGAGAGAGAGGGAGGAGAGAGAGAGAGGGAGGAGAGAGAGAGAGAGGGAGGAGAGAGGGAGGAGAGAGAGAGGGAGGAGAGAAGAGAGGGGAGGAGAGAGAGAGGGAGGAGAGAGAGAGAGGGAGGAGAGAGAGAGGGAGGAGAGAGAGAGGGAGGAGAGAGAGAGAGGGAGGAGAGAGAGAGGGAGGAGAGAGAGAGAGAGGGAGGAGAGAGGGAGGAGAGAGAGAGGAGGAGAGAGAGAGAGGGAGGAGAGAGAGAGGGAGGAGAGAGAGAGGGGAGGAGAGAGAGAGAGAGGGAGGGAGGAGAGAGAGGGAGAGAGAGAGAGAGGGAGGAGAGAGAGAGGGAGGAGAGAGAGAGAGGGAGGAGAGAGAGAGAGAGGGAGGAGAGAGAGAGAGGGAGGAGAGAGAGAGGGAGGAGAGAGAGAGGGAGGAGAGAGAGAGAGGGAGGGAGGGAGAGAGGAGGGAGAGGAGAGAGAGAGGGAGGAGAGAGAGAGGGAGGGAGGGAGAGAGAGAGAGGGAGGAGAGAGAGAGAGGGAGGAGAGAGAGAGAGAGGAGGAGAGAGAGAGGGGAGGGAGGGAGAGAGGAGAGAGGGAGAGAGAGAGAGAGGGAGGAGGGGGGGGAGGGGGGAGGAGAGAGGGAGAGGGAGGAGAGGGAGGGAGGAGCGAGAGTATTTATGGTGATGTGAAGACTGAATGGGAGGATAGACCTTTTCCTCACAGATGTTTGAAAGATCCATTCTCCCACATCAGGAGGAGACTCAGGCCCAGCACTGAAGGGAAAGCTCCGATTGTGACGTTTTGGGCCGATATCAATGTTAAACATAAGAACTTGGCCAATGTTTTTCTTATTCGTTATTTATATTTATACATATAGGAGGAGCAGTGTGGTTTTGGTCCCGGTCGCGGAACACTGGACCAGCTCTACACTCTCCATCGGATACTTGAGGGTTCATGGGAGTTCGCCTCAGTCACATGTGCTTTGTGGATTTGGAGAAGGCGTTCGACCGTGTTCCCGGGGTGTCCTTTGGGGGGTTCTCCGGGAGTACGGGGTCGGTCCTCTCCTGAGGGCCGTCCGGTCCCTGTATGACCGGAGCCAGAGCTGTGTTCGCATCAGCAGTAAGTCAGACCTGAACCTGAATGTTGGCCTCCGACAGGGCTGCCCTTTGTCACTGGTTCTGTTCACTGTCTTTATGGACAGAATTTCTATGCGCAGCCAGGGTCCGGAGGGGGTCCGGTTCAGAGACCACAGGGGGTCCAATTTGATGGATGGACAGTTTGTTGACAGGCTAACAACTGAGTGCTAACTGTTAGCAAACATTGTGTTGCTATGGTAACTAGTCCTGTAAAGGTAGAACTGCTCTCATTCAAAAGTTAAAAAAGTCATCTGCTCCCACTGATGATGGCTGCTGTTGTGTCCCTGGGCAAGACGCCTAATCCTACTTTGCCCGAAGCCCCCGCTGACAGACCGAGGCTGGGTCTTTGTTGGAGCAGCAGCTGTCCTCCCGTGGACTCAACCCCTGCAGAGGAGCAGAGGGACTGGGGCAGCTCTGATTGCCCCTGACCCAGAAACGCATAAATAAAGGGAAGAAAACAAATGAAATTAAAGCCGCAAGCGGCGTCGAACGGCCCTCGCCGCACCGCGCGACTCCCTGCACCGCGCGCACTCCCCGCACCAAGCCGCCCTGCACCATGCCGCCCTGCACCATGCCGTCCCGCACCACGCCGTCCCGCACCACGCCGCCCCGCACCAAGCCGCAACGCGCCGCTCCACAACGCCCCGCACTACGCCGCAGCACCGCTAAAAGGAGGTGGCACCGCCGTGTGATGATTTGTTTCCGTAGCCATAGAAGAATGTTAGTCAAATTGTAATGAATATGATAAGTAGAGCTGGTTTGGCTCCCCATGTAAACTTTGACAAAGTCTGTAGGGGGCGCTAATGGGCCAATTTCCAATATTTCACTTTAACCTGACCTAAACCCCGGAATTGAACAATGGATTAAAGTTTTGTGCAAATCAGGCATTGTTTGTGCAAACAGGAGCAAAATTAATGTTGTCAAAAAGAGCCAAAAAAACCCTCACATTTTGCCGCTCCGCTGCTCAAACAACGTTTCACGGATCAAAATTCCCTGAAGTCATTTTGAAGGTACATGTGTTGAGATGATGTGGAGCGATTTTGAGGCAAATCAATGAAACGGCCGAGGCTGGTTTGATGTTTGTGTGAGGTGTACATTTGCAATGAATGGGGAGCGTTTCTCGTCGCCACGGCTACAGGGTAAAAAATAAGCCTTGGACCCAATTGACTTTTTGAATCAAGAGGGCAAAACAGATTTATGTGCAAAATTTCAAACATTTTGAAAAAACTAAATTTGAAAATGCCCATCTAAAACTTTGAAATAGTCTGTAGGGGGCGCTAATGTGTCAATTTGAATTAATTCACCTTCAAACGACCTAGACCCTAGAGTTGAACAATGTATTAAAGTTTTGTGCAAATCAGACTTTGTTTGTGCAAACGGGAGCAAATTTAATGTTGTCAAAAACGGCCAAAAAAATGTCACATTTTGCCGCTCCGCTGCTCGAACAATGTTTCACTGATCAAAAAATCCCTGAGGTCATTTTGAAGGTACATGTGTTGAGATGATGTGGAGCAATTTTGAAGCGAATCGGTGAAACGGCCGAGGAGGAGTCGCTTTCCAACCGACATGTATGAAAACTTTTGCTGTTCATTTTTCCATTTTGCAGTGAAATTTATGGGCTTCCTGTTTGTCAGAGGGCGGGGCCATAATAATATTTTTTTCTTGTCTTGACTTGAGGAACATGTGTACCAAATATCATGTTTCTATGACAAACTTGACCTCCGAAAAGTCCCATAGGGGTATTATTTTGGCTGTTGTAGGTGGCGCTGTTCTGTCATTTTTTGAGTCCCATAAAAATAAACACCAAAATATGAAATTTTTCGCCAGGTCTGATTTTTGGGCCAAAATTAACAACTTTTCATGCATGTTCAGGGGGTCAAATTAAGGCTCAAAGTGCAGAAGAAAAAAGAAAGAAAGAAAGAAAGAAATAAATAAATAAATAAATAAAAAAGGAATTTTTTGTGACTTGTCTCGAGCAAAAACAATATAGGTTTCAATGGCATGTGATTCATCATTTTAAAGCTTTTGAGTTTACGCACGCAACTGTCATGTTTTGGTGAGTGACGGGCGCTGACGCGTCCGTCACGCACCGCCACCATTTGTTTTCACCATTGTGAAAGCAATAGGCCCTTACCCCGTTCGGGGCTCGGGCCTAATGATAAGATAATTGACTGAAAAAGACAAAGAGCCGACAAATAGACACAGAAAAAGTCAAGTTACAAAGACAGCTCCCACTTACACAACACCGTCACATTCACTGTTTTGGGAGTTGGAGAGTTAAGAAGTACCAGAGAGAATATTGGAGCTGGGCTGGGGGTGTTGGGGGTGAAGGGGGTGTAGGGGTGTTGAGGGGGTGTTGGGGGTGAAGGGGGTGGAGGGGGTGTAGGGGGTGTTGGGGGTGAAGGGGGTGGAGGGGGTGGAGGGGGTGTTGGGGGTGAAGGGGGTGGAGGGGGTGGAGGGGGTGAAGGGGGTGTAGGGGGTGAAGGGGGTGTAGGGGTGTTGGGGGTGGAGGGGGTGAAGGGGGTGGAGGGGGTGTAGGGGGTGTAGGGGGTGAAGGGGGTGTAGGGGGTGTTGGGGGTGGGAGGGGGTGAAGGGGGTGGAGGGGGTTGTAGGGGGTGTTGGGGGTGAAGGGGGTGTAGGGGGTGTTGGGGGTGGAGGGGGTGGAGGGGGTGGAGGGGGTGTTGGGGGTGAAGGGGGTGTTGGGGGTGAAGGGGGTGTAGGGGGTGTTGGGGGTGAAGGGGGTGTAGGGGGTGTTGGGGGTGGAGGGGGGTGGGAGGGGGTGGAGGGGGTGTTGGGGGTGAAGGGGGTGTAGGGGGTGTTGGGGGTGTTGGGGTGTGAAGGGGGTGTAGGGGGTGTTGGGGGTGGAGGGGGGTGGAGGGGGTGGAGGGGGTGTTGGGGGTGAAGGGGGTGTAGGGGGTGTTGGGGGTGGAGGGGGTGGAGGGGGTGTTGGGGGGTGAAGGGGGTGTAGGGGGTGTTGGGGGTGGAGGGGGGTGGAGGGGGTGTTGGGGGTTTGCAGGGAGCTGGTGTCTGTCTGGATCCAGCCGACAGCAGCTCCCGGCTCTGGGCCCTAGAGCCTCCGGAGCCTCCATGGTTCCGTGATGACCATCTGTGTGTGGCTTCTGTCAGAGCCATCGGCGAGAATCCACTCAAGAAACCCTGTCGCCGCAGCGCAGTGTGCAGGAGGAGGATGACAGTTAAAGCTGGGGTCCCTGAGTTTACATCCATATAACCTGCTTCTACCGCTGACTTTCAGTGGTAGATATAGATCGGACAGATTTCTAATAATAATCGATCTTTACTGTGAAATGCTCTTTTTGTTTGGTTCTAGCTTTAAGAGAATGCAGCTGTTTGTTTGACTGTTTCAGATTTAACCCGAGTAAATAGAGACACAGTTTGTTTGGTTGGAGCTGGACCGAGACCAAATAGTTTATTAATACTTTATACTTTATTGATCGATATTGTGAGGGACGTATATATGTGTAGCACAGTTCAGCAGAAGAATGATATAAACGATAAATAAATACATAAAGAATCACATTAAAAATAGTAAATAGACAATCCTTCACAGCCACACAGTTAAACAACAGATTATTGAGTAGAAGTCTGTCTCACATTTTCAAGAAGACTGTTCCAGATTTTAGCAACATAAGTCTGTAACACTATCTCCTCATGTTTAGTCCTGACTCTGGGACCAGCAGGAGGCCAGTCCCTGTGCTCCTCAGAGTCCCAGCAGGAGGCCAGTCCCTGTGCTCCAGAGTCCCAGCAGGAGGCCAGTCCCTGTGCTCCTCAGAGTGCAGGAGTCCAGTCCCTGTGCTCCTCAGAGTCCCAGCAGGAGGCCTCAGAGTCCCAGCAGGAGGCCAGTCCCTGTGCTCCTCAGAGTCCCAGCAGGAGGCCAGTCCCTGTGCTCCTCAGAGTCCCAGCAGGAGGCCAGTCCCTGTGCTCCTCAGAGTCCCAGCAGGAGTCCAGTCCCTGTGCTCCTCAGAGTCCCAGCAGGAGGCCAGTCCCTGTGCTCCTCAGAGTCCGGGAGGCCAGTCCCTGTGCTCCTCAGAGTCCCAGCAGAGGCCAGTCCCTCCTCAGCAGGGAGTCCGGTCCCTGTGCTCCTCAGAGTCCCAGCAGGAGTCCGTCCCTGTGCTCCTCAGAGTCCCAGCAGGAGTCCGGTCCCTGTGCTGTCCTGTGTCTGTAATCCGAGCCCAGAGGAGAGCCCTGGGACGAGCCGGGGCCACGATGGGGGTTGTCCTCAGAGATTCTTTTGTTTCTTGGGCTCGTGCAGAGTGGAATAGCAGCAGTGCTAACCTGTGGTCTGCTCCTGCAACTCCCTCACCTCCTCCCACTGCTCCCTCACCTCCTCCTGCTGCTCCCTCACATCCTCCTGCTGCTCCCTCACCTCCTCCTGCTGCTCCCTCACCTCCTCCTGCTGCTCCCTCACCTCCTCCTGCTGCTCCCTCACCTCCTCCTGCTGCTCCCTCACCTCCTCCTGCTGCTCCCTCACCTCCTCCTGCTGCTCCCTCACCTCCTCCTGCTGCTCCCTCACCTCCACCTGATACTCCCTCACCTCCTCCTGCTGCTCCCTCACCTCCTCCCACTGCTCCCTCACCTCCTCCTGTTGCTCCCTCACCTCCTCCTGCTGCTCCCTCACCTCCTCCTGTTGCTCCCTCACCTCCTCCTGCTGCTCCCTCACCTCCTCCTGCTGCTCCCTCACCTCCTCCTGCTGCTCCCTCACCTCCTCCTCCTCTTCATCCTCCTGCTGCTCCCTCACCTCCTCCTCTGCTCCCCATGCTGCTCCCTCACCTCCTCCTGCTGCTCCTCCCTCACCTCCTCCCACTGCTCCCTCACATCCTCCTGCTGCTCCCTCACCTCCTCCTGCTGCTCCCTCACCTCCTCCCACTGCTCCCTCACCTCCTCCTGCTGCTCCCTCACCTCCTCCTGCTGCTCCCTCACCTCCTCCTGCTGCTCCCTCACCTCCTCCTGCTGCTCCCTCACCTCCTCCCGCTGCTCCCTCACCTCCTCCTGCTGCTCCCTCACATCCTCCTGCTGCTCCCTCACCTCCTCCTGCTGCTCCCTCACCTCCTCCCACTGCTCCCTCACATCCTCCTGCTGCTCCCTCACCTCCTCCTGCTGCTCCCTCACCTCCTCCCACTGCTCCCCCCACCTCCTCTCTGCTGCTCCCTCACCTCCTCCTGCTGCTCCCTCACATCCTCCTGCTGCTCCCTCACCTCCTCCTGCTGCTCCCTCACCTCCTCCCGCTGCTCCCTCACCTCCTCCTGCTGCTCCCTCACCTCCTCCTGCTGCTCCCTCACCTCCTCCCACTGCTCCCTCACCTCCTCCTGCTGCTCCCTCACCTCCTCCCACTGCTCCCTCACCTCCTCCTGCTGCTCCCTCACCTCCTCCTGCTGCTCCCTCACCTCCACCTGATACTCCCTCACCTCCTCCTGCTGCTCCCTTATGGTTTCTGTAGCTGCGAAGACCACATCTGACCTGAAGAAGAAGAGGAGGAGGCGAGAGAGAGGCCTGAGCTCTGACCACATGCACTTAGCCAACTGTAAACAACTCTCTCTGAAGGAATCTAAGTGGTCCATCCTCAAGGCTCATATCTGGACTTACAAACGCAATATCTAAATGAAAACCCCGGGATCAAAGTCCCTGAGCTCGAGGAGTTTAATTCTAAGTCAACGTGAGTCAGAGTTGGAGCAAAACTAGCCTTCATTCAGCTAGCATGTTAGCATTGTCCATCTATTTACCTGTACATGATCTATAACAATATTAACGTCATCACTGTTAATATTTACAGCCTATGACTTTGGTGCCCGCTGTAGAGAGCTGAACAAGTCACTTTATCGGCTGAGTACGATATGAACACATGATTTTATCCATGTCTTTACCTTTTTACCACTTGAGCCAAAGCAGATGCCTAGTTTGTGACGTCCTGTTCCTCTGATGATAGTTCCAGGGGCCTCTGAAACGGTCCGTGCTTTAAGATCCAGCGAACACATGACTTTGGTCTATGTCCTGCTCCCGCCCGGACCTCTCGGTGTGAACCGTGACTTTGCCGTGACATTGAAGCAGTTTGGGTGAAGGTCTCTGGGTAATGAGCGTCTGCAGGAGTCTGGAAAGAAGCCGCATTAGAAGAGCTCATAACGGAGTCTGGGATCCGTCTCCAGAGCAGAGACGCTTTTACTAAGATGGATGAACCTGCAGCATGTGGCCACCGGGGAGCGGCAAGGAGCCTGTTTTATTTATTAGCCGCGCACAGGTCGCTAGCGGCGCTTATGTCGTGCCTGTTCTACGCCACCTGTAAACCCAGACATCTGCTTTACTCTGCTTTAAGGACCGTAAGGATGGAACCAAACACACAAATGAACGATTATTAGGTTAAGTCTGTTCAAGCTCTGAGTGTTTTTAAAAAAAGTTATTTTTAGAGTTTGTGCCGAAGCTTTTGGTTTCATCTGTTTTTGCCTCACATCATTTTTTTTATTTAAATACAGTTTTCATATTTTCCTTTCATGAAGTATGGCATGTGTCTTTGTAAAGGGGTGAATGGTGTCTAGGGTGTGTTTTAGACTTGAATCTATGGAAGTAAAACCATTAACTACTTTCTCCAACGAGACAAAGACATTTGACACTCTCTACTTTCTCATTCCAAGGGAGACACTTCTGTATCTTTAAAACACAAGATCATTTGAACTGACTCTGACTCTGAGGAGCACAGGGACTGGCCTCCTGCTGGGACTCTGAGGAGCACAGGGACTGGCCTCCTGCTGGGACTCTGAGGAGCACAGGGACTGGCCTCCTGCTGGGACTCTGAGGAGCACAGGGACTGGCCTCCTGCTGGGACTCTGAGGAGCACAGGGACTGGCCTCCTGCTGGGACTCTGAGGAGCACAGGGACTGGCCTCCTGCTGGGACTCTGAGGAGCACAGGGACTGGCCTCCTGCTGGGACTCTGAGGAGCACAGGGACTGGCCTCCTGCTGGGACTCAGAGGAGCACAGGGACTGGCCTCCTGCTGGGACTCTGAGGAGCACAGGGACTGGCCTCCTGCTGGGACTCTGAGGAGCACAGGGACTGGCCTCCTGCTGGGACTCTGAGGAGCACAGGGACTGGCCTCCTGCTGGGACTCTGAGGAGATTATGTTAAAGCTACAGACCTTGAAATAATAAACATTAGAAAAAGGAGAAATTAGCAACAGCAACGATTGTTCTTTTCGTCGTAAAAGTTAATTATCCACAATAAGTGCAAACTGTGAACGCTGCATCTGTCTCCATCCTTTATGTGCAGCATGTTACCTCAGTCACACTCGCTGCTGCAGCCGCACTCACAGCCGTCAGTGATCGTGAGAATCGTAAAGGAATCGCTTCATAAGAAAATTTAAAAGCAATAAAACGTCCTCAACCAACATCCTCTCACATGTGTTTGTGAAGGACCCGCCGCAAATGTTTATAATGTTTTTTAATGTTTATAATGTTTTAAAATGTGTTTCCTTTATGTCCTTTTATTAAGACGATTAAGATTAAGGAGTAGCTCTCTGCCTCTTTTGTCCCATAAAGTAGTATCTCCATGATTGAAGAAGGTTGGAGACCCCTGACACACGACTGAACCCCGTCAGAAAGTGCATGTTTTAAAGCGCACAGGCTGCAACACTTCACAATGATTACGTTGTGTGCGAGACTGAACCAACAGAGGAACGGTGTGTTTATGACGTGAACGAGTCTAGAATAAAAACACATGTTCATCTCAGTCCTGCAAGTCCCTCTGGCCCCGTCTGGAACCGGGCTATAGTCAAACACACTGATGTATTGCTCTCAGCTCTGACCCGCTCTCCTGCAGACACACACACACACACACACACACACACACACACACACACACACACACACACACACACACACACACACACACACACACACACACACACACACACACACTCACACTCACACTCACACTCACACTCACACTCACACACACTCTCACACACACACACACACACACTCTCACACACACACACACACACACACACTCTCACACACACACACACACACACACACTCTCACACACACACACACTCACACACTCACACACTCACACACACACACAAGGTCGTTCCTCAACCCGGCGTAATTAACCAGCCAGTCCTATAGAGCGCCTTTAGGATACCATTAACCCGTACTAGCTTCATAAAGCCTGTGCAAACACTGGCTAAGCACCCGGCAAACACACACACACACACATGGCAAACACACACACACACGCACACACACACACGACTGGAGAGAGCGCGAGGCGAGAAAGAAAAATCCATTTCATGAATATTGAATTTCATTATGAGCCAGAAAAAAACAGCTTGGGCTCGGATCATTCTTTAACGACCCAAAGTCCACTCGCATGAATCTTTTAGCAGCGGCTGTCTGTGTGATGAGGGAGAGGATATTAGCAGAACGAGAGCGAGGGAGCGGTCAATGCAAAGCCCGGAGGATTTGGCGAGAAGGCGAGATGGGAGACCTACCTTGGCCCAGACACGCGGCGAACCGGTCCACTGCAAATATCTTAAGAACAAGACTGTATTTGCATAAAACAAGGATTTGGATTCAACGTGGCGTCGTCCTCTTGTCAAATTGGCCTGTAGGGCTTTTTAACTCTGCACGGACACGGTGGTGCAGGTGACTCGTCAAAGGGAGGATGGAATCTCGAAATGGTTATTGGCGAGACAGCCCGGACCAGCGGCGGAATCTACAGAATCTATGGTTTTGGAATTACCCGGGATCAAGAGTCGAAATCCTGGAATGACTTTGTCTGGGTTTTGTGCAGAGTAATGTTGGTGCAAAGCAGAGAAAGGGAAAGTTTTCTGGACATTCTTTGGGTTCCAATTATGGCGTCAGGGAGAAAACCGTATTATCTGAAGAAAAATGCAGTTCAAGAATCAGATCATTTGGATCCTACTCACTACGACGGCTGAATGTGGGATTTTTTAACATTCAGATTCATTTTGTTTGCAGTAAAACCAGAAAACAGAAGAGTCATTGATCCATAACGAACCTCCAGAACGCACAGTTCAATACTTGAATAAGACATAAGTTATAGATTATGAGTCACTCTGAGCTACTGCTCTGATCAGGGACGGAGCCAGAAAGTGTAAACAGGGCGGTCCTGGAGAAAAGTGGGCGGGCCAAGTTTTGCCAGAGGAAAAATCAATACGATATCCAATAACCCCTGCAGACGTGCCTCCTCGGTTTGAGAGCGTTTAGTGACCAGCACAGACTGTAGTGGATACAGGCGCTAACGAGCTGCAGTATAAACAATGGTGAATTTAAGTAGATTTATGAAAATATTTAGCATTAGAGGATTTAACCTTTAGAGTCTTAATAAATGGTATATACATTATTATAATTAGTCATAAAGCATTATAAAACAAATCACATAACTCAATTATCTAAAGATTATAAAAGTCAAATTACCACAAACCAACTTTACTCCAGGCCTTTGAGCTAAAACGGAATCTTAACATCATTGAAAAGATCATCTCTAACAATAAAACTACAGTGAAGTGATGGAGGCACTTTGGACAGAGACGTGTGTGTGTGTGTGTGTGCGTGTGCGTGTGCGTGTGCGTGTGCGTGTGCGTGTGCGTGCGCGCGTGCGCGTGTGTGTGCGTGTGTAGCTCCACACACACACACAGCTGGTGTAGCGCTTGTGAGACGCTGCTCCCGAGTCCGTGGCCAGACAGAGTTTGACAGTTTGACGGACAGAGAGTTCAACAGAACAGAGGAGTCTGACTGCCACACAGAGTCTGACTGCCACACAGAGTCTGACTGCCACACAGAGGAGTCTGACTGCCACACAGAGTCTGACTGCCACACAGAGTCTGACTGCCACACAGAGTCTGACTGCCACACAGAGGAGTCTGACTGCCACACAGAGTCTGACTGCCACACAGAGTCTGACTGCCACACAGAGGAGTCTGACTGCCACACAGAGGAGTCTGACTGCCACACAGAGTCTGACTGCCACACAGAGTCTGACTGCCACACACAGGAGTCTGACTGCCACACAGAGGAGTGCGACTGCCACACAGAGGAGTCAGACTGCCACACAGAGTCTGACTGCCACACACAGGAGTCTGACTGCCACACAGAGTCTGACTGCCACACAGAGGAGTCTGACTGCCACACAGAGTCTGACTGCCACACAGAGTCTGACTGCCACACAGAGGAGTCTGACTGCCACACAGAGGAGTCTGACTGCCACACAGAGTCTGACTGCCACACACAGGAGTCTGACTGCCACACAGAGGAGTCAGACTGCCACACAGAGTCTGACTGCCACACACAGGAGTCTGACTGCCACACAGAGGAGTCTGACTGCCACACAGAGTCTGACTGCCACACAGAGTCTGACTGCCACACAGAGTCTGACTGCCACACAGAGTCTGACTGCCACACAGAGGAGTCTGACTGCCACACAGAGGAGTCTGACTGCCACACAGAGGAGTCTGACTGCCACACAGAGTCTGACTGCCACACACAGGAGTCTGACTGCCACACAGAGGAGTGCGACTGCCACACAGAGGAGTGCGACTGCCACACAGAGGAGTCAGACTGCCACACAGAGTCTGACTGCCACACACAGGAGTCTGACTGCCACACAGAGGAGTGCGACTGCCACACAGAGGAGTCTGACTGCCACACAGAGTCTGACTGCCACACACAGGAGTCTGACTGCCACACAGAGGAGTCTGACTGCCACACAGAGTCTGACTGCCACACAGAGTCTGACTGCCACACACAGGAGTCTGACTGCCACACACAGGAGTCTGACTGCCACACAGAGTCTGACTGCCACACAGAGGAGTCTGACTGCCACTCAGAGGAGTCTGACTGCCACTCAGAGGAGTCTGACTGCCACTCAGAGTCCGACTGCCACTCAGAGTCCGACTGCCACACAGAGTCCGACTGCCACTCAGAGGAGTCTGACTGCCACACAGAGGAGTCTGCCACACAGAGGAGTCTGACTGCCACACAGAGGAGTCTGACTGCCACACAGAGGAGTCTGACTGCCACACAGAGGAGTCTGACTGCCACACAGAGTCTGACTGCCACACAGAGGAGTCTGCCACACAGAGGAGTCTGCCACACAGAGGAGTCTGACTGCCACACAGAGGAGTCTGACTGCCACACAGAGGAGTCTGCCACACAGAGGAGTCTGCCTGCCACACAGAGGAGTCTGACTGCCACACAGAGGAGTCTGACTGCCACACAGAGGAGTCTGACTGCCACACAGAGGAGTCTGACTGCCACACAGAGGAGTCTGACTGCCACACAGAGGAGTCTGACTGCCACACAGAGTCTGACTGCCACTCAGAGGAGTCTGACTGCCACACAGAGGAGTCTGACTGCCACACAGAGGAGTCTGACTGCCACTCAGAGGAGTCTGACTGCCACTCAGAAGTTACAGTCAGAGAAGATTCTGTGGATAGTAGGAGCACTGGAAGTTTTTCAGCCTTTAAACCTCCTGTTTCTTAAATGCAGTTGGTTCTCTCTGTGTGCACAGTTTCTCAGTGCAGCGCTGACAGATTAGACTAGAACATTTGTAAATGTGTTGAATGGAGATAGATCCATAAAACTTTTCTCTGATTACTCACATTTTTGACACTGGCTACAGGCTTCACTGATCACTTTTCAGAGAGCGCTCGAAGTTATTAAAATAGATCCATGTCCCAGACGGACTTTACTGAAAGGTCTCATGGCTCCAGGCTCCAAGGCCAATGCTCTACAGACTGAGCCACTGTCGCAAATCCAGACCTTAGTCCCAAATGAAATGAGTACAATGGTGCGGTAAGACCAGGCTAGTCTAGTCCGTGTGGAAATGTGATCGATCCAACGTTGACCTTGGATCTAGAGCCTCACTTAGAACCATTTTTGTCATTGACCAAAGAGAGTGAGTGACAGCGACAGCTCATGAATATTCATGAGTTAAACAGACCCAGGGGCCAAACCGCTATTACCGAGACAAATGGCGGCGTTCAGATCCGTGTGACCATTTACAGAGCACCACAGACATGACCATTATCCGCACCATCAACGCCATTTTCATTATAAGGCCTGTTTCATCCCACCAGCGTTATTATGAAAACCACAACATCAAACACAACTATCAGCCTCATCTCTCTTCTTCTTCGTTCTCCGCCGTTATCTCGGTCTTCGTCGCAGTCTTCATCGCAGAATTGAGCGTGACTCCCTCGGCCCCGTCTGTGACATTGACGATTACATTCACGAGAGAAGCCGAGGTAATCCCCGACTCTCTCTCTCTCTCTTTGTCGTCGGCTCTGAACGCTCTGTTTTCTGGTTTACTGAAGAAGTATTCAGAGACGACAGAAGCTAATCAGGAAGTAGAGAGCGTTTTAGATTTTATGGACGATTTGTTTGTTATTCAGGGAGAAATGTTTATAATGTTTGTACTCACTGCATGTATGGATGTGTAAAGGATCTCTCTATCGCTGACATGTCCAAACTCAGGCCCGAGAGCCAGATGCGGCCGTTTGTGTCATGTAATCTGGCCCTCTGCCTCGCTAACACACGCTATCCTAGACACCAGCTCACAGTGTCATACAGCCAACTTCAGCTCTACCAATATGTGTATCTCATATCTTGTTGTAAAGCCTGTTTTTTGTATATACTCGTTTTGAATTGAGTTGCTAGCGTAGCCAACGTCAACCTTATTATTGATGATTTTAAAGTTCAAAACAGTTTTTTAATTCAGGTTAAAAAGTTTGGACACCCCTGCTCTGACAGTGAAGTTATGACCTGTTATTATCACGTTTAATGAATGTATAAATGGTATCTATGTCAAGATGTCTCTGGGTTCTGTTGCCAGGTTTGTAAAACGTGCCCAGTCCGTAAGTGCCATTTTTGGGTCTCTGGTCTCTCTCTCTGGTCTCTCTCTGGTCTCTCTCTCTGGTCGCTCTCTGGTCTCTCTCTGGTCGCTCTCTGGTCTCTCTCTCTGGTCTCTCTCTGGTCTCTCTCTGGTCTCTCTCTCTGGTCTCTCTCTGGTCTCTCTCTCTGGTCTCTCTTTGGTCTCTCTCTGGTCTCTCTCTCTGGTCTCTCTCTGGTCTCTCTCTGGTCTCTCTCTCTGGTCTCTCTCTGGTCTCTCTCTTTGGTCTCTCTCTGGTCTCTCTCTCTGGTCTCTCTCTGGTCTCTCTCTGGTCTCTCTCTCTGGTCTCTCTTTGGTCTCTCTCTGGTCTCTCTCTCTGGTCTCTCTCTGGTCTCTCTCTCTGGTCTCTCTCTGGTCTCTCTCTGGTCTCTCTCTCTGGTCTCTCTCTGGTCTCTCTCTCTGGTCTCTCTTTGGTCTCTCTCTGGTCTCTCTCTCTGGTCTCTCTCTGGTCTCTCTCTAGTCTCTCTCTGGTCTCTCTCTGGTCTCTCTCTCTGGTCTCTCTTTGGTCTCTCTCTCTTCTCACAAATCCATTTTGCTCTGCATGCTTCTATGTGTGAAGTCTCTGGTTTCCAACTCTATCCATTGGTCTGAAGTGTGTCTCCTCCCTGGAAAAGCCATGTTCCAGCTTCTTCCTTTTGCCAAGAAGTTCACACTCTTTGATGCAGAACTGTTTTGGATGTCTTCTTTTTACTGCCTTTGTGAAGTAACAGGACGTCACAAACTAGGAATATGCAAACATGTTGTCAGTGTAAAAATAGAGATGCATGCTGGGTAACACCTGGGCTACAGCCAATCAGCTCTCAGAAAACATACAGTGACTCACATGGGCCTTCGAACATATATCATAGTCCTGCTTCTGTTTCTTGTTCCCATGAGATAAAAAAAAATTAAAACAAACCCCCCTCTTGCTCTAGTTCCCGCTGTGAGTCACGAGTAACAAGTGGAAACCGTAACGTGTGATTCTTGATTCACCTGATGAGAAAACACGGAGCAGTTTTATAAATAGACATGTGTTAAACCTCTCCATTCAGGCTGTCACTGTGCCCACGGAGCTAACGATGCTAACGGCGCTAACGGGGACGGGGAGCCGACAGGAGCTCGCTGATTCGTAAGCAACATGACAAATCCTATTATCTGTGTTTCAGTTGCATCAGGAGCTGCTGAAGTCGTGACTCAACAGAACAGAGTGTTGCATGATCGACTCCCATTGGACCAGAACCTGACTGTTGATCTGCCTTTAGCTTAGCGTGCTACAGTTAAACTGCAAATCTGTTTCTACATTCAAGACACAGAATCATAAACAAAGCACTTTATGAAAACAACCTAATAATAATAATGATGATGATAATATCAGACACTGAATGGATTGATACCCCCTTTAACTAATTGAAAGATTCCTCGATGCCCAAGACAGGAGGCCCCTGGACTCTGTGGAGGAGGTGAGGGACAGGAGGCCCCTGGACTCTGTGGAGGAGGTGAGGGACAGGAGGCCCCTGGACTCTGTGGAGGAGGTGAGGGACAGGAGGCCCCTGGACTCTGTGGAGGAGGTGAGGGACAGGAGGCCCCTGGACTCTGTGGAGGAGGTGAGGGACAGGAGGCCCCTGGACTCTGTGGAGGAGGTGAGGGACATGAGGAGTAAAAGTCACCTCCTTCATGGACAACACCTCCTGCACAGGACTGAGGAGGAGGTGAGGAGCTCCTTCAGTGGAAGAAGGAGCAGGGCCTTTATCCCCACCGCTGTCAGACTGTACAATAAGTCACTTTAAGTCACTAATGCACTAGGACTGAAAACCTGCTGCTGTTGGCTCTTTTTATTCTACATAATTATATCCTGCACAGACTCTGTCTTTGGCACAATCTGAGAGATTCTGTGATGTCACATGTTTCTCCATCATGACGGGCATGTTTTTTATCCATGCCCGTCTCACTTATTGGCTCTGGCTTGATCTCAACAGGAAAAGTGAAATTGAATTGAAAAAATACTTCTGATAGCACTGCCCGCGCTGTCAGACTGTCCCTGGACCTCGTTCCGGCCCCGACAGAGTCCTCCATCTCTGCTCCACGTCTGATTGGAACCTCGGCCATGGCGGTGGTCCACTCCCATCAGCCCCGTCACCTCGTCTGTCTTCACGCCGCCTCGTTCCCGCTCCCCTCTTTTGCTTTCTTGTCTTGA